GTTTTTGCCTCTCTCCCCCTCGTTCCCCTTTTGAATGGTGGTTGGTGTTCAGCCGCAGTGCAAGGCAACAACAACTAACGAAGGTAAAAAAAAAATAAGGAAAAAATGCCTGAAAAGAGACCGAGGGCGCATGCTGCTAAGAAGAGGGGGCGTCCCACCACTAAAGTGCTGCAGGGACGGCGGCGGGCGAGGGCGGGGACTGCCGGCAACGCGAACCCGCCCGCAGCGCAGCCCCGAAGGGCGGAGGAAGCGCCACGGCAGCAGCGGCCAAGGTGGACCCTTGAGAGTCGCGTGGAGGAGGTACTGATGGAGGGAGAAGCCCCAGCCAGAGAGATGCTGCTGAACGACTTCCTTCGGGAGTACGTTGACCCCAACTACGCCGTGGACGAATACGACAATGTTCCGATGGGGATGTTTGCGCGGAGACCAGGCGATTACATCCCAGACACGGAGCTCCTCGAGAACATTGTTGGGTTGCCAGCGTACCAGCCGTACGCTCTCCGTGAAGAGTTGCGCAGGATTGCGAGGAAAGGGGTGGTCACGCTCCGGGACTGGAGGGAGGCTTCATCGCGGTTGTACATCTCCTTTAGAAAGGCGTTAGAAAAACTCAGCGCAGCCCTTGAGGTGGCGAAGGCAGAAGCGGCAAGGCGGGAAGAAAACGAAGGGGCAAAGCGGAAAAAGAAAAGGGCGAGACTACCGATTCCGGTGGGTTTCTACGACTCGGTGTTCAACGCGAAGTGGAGCCACGTCTTGGGGTATCCCGAGGGCGCGGGGGAAGAGGCGGCGGTGCGAATGGAGGTGCGTGAGGGCCAAGAACCAAAAATGCCTTGGGTGATCGGTGGTTATGGCGATTTTTGGCTGGATGATGACGAGGCAGACCAGTTCCGCCCGCCGCGCCCCACGCTGATGGTACTCACCTCCGAGAAGGGCTGGCCGCACTCGCTGCGGGAGGGAACAGCCACCACCGACTGCTACGTTAACTTCGAGATGGAGCGGGTGTGGGAGATCGTCGATAGAAACATGCGCGAGATCTTCCGCGCTGAAGATCACGGGCTGCCTGACGTGCAGTCACACTTCCTGCTTGGGACGTACGGGGTCGGGCGGTGGCTGAATGCCGGCGCCTTCATCCTTTACAAACTGCTGCACTACGATAAATACCCAATTCGTTATGTTGCCTACTTCCTTGGAGGAGAGTTGGCGCTCATGTTTGACAAGGAAGAGAAGACGGTGGAGAAATATGAGGGCGCGAAGAAGATCAAAGAAGCTGTGAGTCGTTTGAATTGTAATCCTGAAGAGAGAGGGTTTGCTATCTACGACGCGGCGGAGGAAGGAGGGGCGCCGCCGTCAGGCTTGTATTGTTATGGGTATGGGATGGTCGTGGTGGCGTCCCCGAACGGCAATAACTTCAGAGGATGGGTGGGGGGTGCGGACCGCCACCACTGCGTCATGAGCTGCCCCAGCGAGAACGAGGTGAAGGCGATGTGTGCCTGGATGAAGCGTGGCCGCCCCGCGCAGGAGCAAGCGGACTACTGGGAGACGGTCAAGCAGCGCATGCAGTTTGTCGGGCCGATTCCGCGTTACATCTTCACTGAGGCTGACTTCAATGAGCACGCTGCGGCACTTGGGAGCGCCCTGCAGGCGATTGACGCCTCGGTTGCCAAAGACTACTTTCCCCGGGCAGATGAGAAGGTGTGGAGTCCAGAGAATCCGTTTCATAAACTTGTGAAAATTGAGCGGGAACGTCGCGAACGCGGTATTGACGTTATTCGCATCGCACCGGCGTGTGACCACATCAGACAAAAGCTATTGGATCGTTTGTGTGAGGTACTGACCCTCGCAGAGGCTGTCTCGCTACTAACGTGTGGTTCTCGCCTTCCTTAAAAGCTCCAGAAGCCGTGCGCCCCGGACCCACACACACACACGCTGGGGGAGGAGGGCCTTTTTGCGGGCGCGGCGTAGAAAAGAGAGGGGGGCTCGCGCGGGGCTGCGGCCGACAACGGGACGGCCGGCAAGGCAGTGCGTGTTGCGGGCGGGCCCGGCGTCGCGTCCCGAGCAAAGGAGCTTAGAGACGGGCGCCTTTTCATTTAAATTATTTTCTTTAAACAGTCGGGAGGGAGTTTGTTTGAGCTGCGGTTTTGCAGCGGCGGGTGCGCATCACATTACCGCCAGCGCAGCGAAGGAGCAGCCCGGAGAGTAAATGACAAGGTGTATATTTTAAGCGGTTAGGGAAAAA